ACTAACAACACAGTGCAAAATATTTTTATATTATGAAAAAATAGCATAAAATCTTAACTCTTCTTCCAAAAGTCGCTATCATACTTATTTATAAACTTTCAAAGGTATCCATCTTCTGATGAACCTAGAAAACTGCTTTAGGTCGTGTAGACTGTTAATGTTATCTTATGTCATGGTATGTTATGTTATAATTTTATAAGGCACTTATTTATCCAAATTTTTAGGTGATAATAAAAAAGATTCAATTTAAATGTTACTTGTTGTCGTAGTCGTTTTTTCAAATTGATGGCTTTCTATTATAAAATCACATAACGCTGTTTGCAAGTGGACTACTCAATTCAATTCATATCAAAAAAGTTTTATGTTTGAAAAAACAAAATCTGAGATTTTATGCATTTCAATAAAAAATTTCCAAATTTTGTTTCAATTTGCATACACTCCAACTTGCAAATTGCCTATCACCAATTTTTCTTTCAAGACGATATGCAAATTTTTGTTCAATTTCAACAGCTGATCGATCATAGCTTTGGGAAGTCAGTTTTTGTTCGCAGAAAATTGTGTGCTTAGTACAATTTGGAAGAAACAAAGAAAACTTATACGTGTGAGCAAGTGAAAGCAATGTTTTCAACGTGTAAACGCAAAGTAAGTGAACAATTTTTAATACTCATTTTGATTGACTTTTCAAAACATTTTTGCCTACCAAAAGCTTCATCAAACCAACCAAACTATCAAAGGAAAATGAAGCTACCAATTTTGGTCCAATTGGACCAAAACGGCAACGGTGCCCACAACACCCATTGGCGCTTGAAACGCAGATAAACGCGATGGCAAAACAGTTGCAAGAACTTCAAAATGCCATAGCGAAACTTAGCAATTCGAACGATAACAATGCTACTGCAACTAATGCTCAGACCACTGCCAGCGTCCCTCCGTCGGTAATTAGTGAGGCTGAAGAAAGTAACCTTTCGATCGCCGGAACATTAGCCGACTTAAACCGAACATTGGCCACCACCAGGGTAAATGCGAACAAAAAACTTTATGATCTCCCAGAATTCGATGGGAAACCCGAAGATTGGCCAATGTTCCGCGAATCCTTTGTTATGACCACAGAGGAATACAGATATAGTGATCGGCAAAATATGCTACGACTTCAGAAAGCTATCAGGGGCAAAGCACGCGAGGTCGCTGAGTGTTTGCTCATTCACAGCAGCAACGTGATGCGCGTCATTGAAGCACTACATGAACGTTTTGGTAGGCCCGAATTGTTAGTTTAAAGCCAGACCGCTACAAAAGTCCAGAATTTAGCTACGTTTTTAGAATCCGCAGGGTGTGAGTACCATTTGAGTAACCCGACTCTTATGGAAGAGCTGCTCCTTAAGCTCCCAATGCAAAGACGCTTGGATTGGGCACGTTATGCAGTGCATATAGTACCAAGAGCCACAATAAGTCACTTTAGTAACTGGTTGCAAGAAATAGCACGCCTGGTAAACGCGGCCGGCATTACTTCGAATCCGCAGGCGCGCACAGCTGAAGGAAGAGGCGAAGCCCGAGCAAGATTTTTTCATATGGATGAGGTGGAGAGCGGTAACCATACGTTATTCAGACTATGTTCAGAGGCACATCACATATCGAAGTGTAAGCGTTTTCTCGATATGAACAACGAATCAAGTTGGCGAGTCGAATGTGAAAGAAAGCTATGCTTTAACTGCATGAAGGATGGCCACAGGAGCAACAGATGTGTATACAAGCACAAATGCTCCGCGCGTAACTGCTCAAGAAAGGTTCATGGGCTTCTACATGTTGACGAGGCCGCAAACACTGATATCTTGCGACTCCGAAACGAGACTCAACATTCACAACAATTGATTCTTACCAGCACTACGAGGCAATCGGGGAACTCGAAGGTGTTATTTAAGATCTTACCAGTAACACTATATGCCAATGGAAAGGAAAAGGCATGCTACGCCTTCCTGGATGAAGGATCATCAATATCGCTGATGAACAACAGTTTAGCTGACAGCCTCGGACTGAAGGGGAAGAAAGAAAAATTGATATTGCAATGGCTCGGAAATAACACGGTAACGAAGCTGGCTTTTGGGGTCCACGTACAAATTTCCAGCTCTCAACCTGGGAGTAGAAAATTCAGCACAAAAAACATCAAAGTAGTAGACGATTTACAACTTCCCAAGCAAACACTAGATATTTCTGAGCTGCAATCTAAATATAGGTATACATAGCGTCTGCCAATTTCAGACTATAGTTCGGCGACTCCTCAGCTATTAATCGGACTTGATAACGCACATCTAGGCGTAGCAAAGAGAACGGCCGCGGACGGACGGCGAGGCCCGGCAGTTTTCTTACGAAGCTTGGCTGGCTCGTGTACGGCTCAGAAAGCGAACGGAAAATCTCCGAATCTGAAAGTCAGCATTCATTTTTTGTACAAGCTCAAAGCGAAGAAAGGCTTGAAAACCTAGTCAGGAACCATATTATAGATGATGATTTATATGTTAATTCCACAGGGAAGCACGTAGATAGTGCTGCAGTAGCAGGGCGAAGGAACTACTTGAAAAAACAACAATACGTAATGGGAGCCGTTTTGAAACAGGTCTCTTGTGGAATAGCGACCACATACTCCTACCTCAAGAATGATAGAATACAAGATTGCGCCAATAAGAGGGGATTTTTGTGTGACGTCATCTTGGTGCAATTGCGAGATAGAAATGCCAA